ACCTTCAACGTGCTAGGCACAGGATATGGAAAAGAAGTGCAAAACTGAATAAGACCTAGTTCTTGTCTTCACTGGAAGGGCCTCTCACTCCAATGGGATATACAGCTTATAAACATGTAATTATAATCTAATATAGTAAAAGGCTTTAGTTGAGCCTTGCAGTCAGAGAGTAGACCCTAATAGCTCACTGTGGTAGAGAAACAAAGTCCTCTCTCTTTCCTTTGTCAGAGCTATCTATTCCAGCTGCTTCAGGGCCTAGCCTTCTGCCATTCTCATCGGGTTCTGCACCGAGACCTCAAACCTCAGAATCTGCTTATCAACGCAGAGGGGGCCATCAAGCTAGCAGACTTTGGACTAGCCAGAGCCTTTGGAGTCCCTGTTCGTACTTACACCCATGAGGTGAGACCCTCTCTGCATTTCTTCTCTGAAGTTCCTGGGAGGTGTTAACAAGGACATTCACAAAATTACTAAACCTATCTGGTCAGCAGTTTCTCTCTCACTAGATGGAAAGTATGTCTGGCTACCCCAAGAGGTTTTAGAGTATGCACCAAGTTCACATTGTGGGGCTAACTGGGCTTTGATAGATACCAAGCCAGGAGAGCTGGATGGCACACCATTAAAATTATGACCACTTGTCTCAAGTTTTCCAGGAAGACTGCAAATTGCGGGTTCAGAAAATATGGTCCTCAGAGTCACGGGCGAGGCTAACTGTCTAAGAAGTTTACTGAGGGGAAGTCAGAAAGATGGGAAAGATGAAGGGAGAGAAGCTGCTTGTTAACAGGCTGAGAGTAAGCAGAGTAACACTGAGGAGCTGAGATGTGGGAATCACCATGCCCCATGCACCACCCCTCCCCTTCCTGCTCTTGTCCCCAGGTGGTGACCCTGTGGTACCGAGCACCTGAAATCCTTCTGGGCTGCAAGTACTATTCCACAGCTGTAGATATCTGGAGCCTGGGCTGCATCTTTGCTGAAATGGTACGGAGGCAAGCCCGAGTTCCACCCAGCTCACTCCTCCCCACATTCAAGAACAACACAACTGTTTCTTTGCCTAGACCCATGGTCCTTCTATTATCATAGGGTTTTTTTCTCTAGAGTAGCATCAAGGAAGGTAGGGGGGAAAGGATAGGACTGTTGTCCCTGATGCCAATCACAATGTTAGTATAGCCTCAATGGCCTTAGCACTCAAAACACATTTCTTACCCCTGAATTGAGCTAAATCATTTCTGCAGCTGTTTTAGCTTTAGTTTGCATATATTTGGGAGAATGAGTACCTGATATTCAGTGCCTCCTTCATTTGGCCTGTAGACCTAATTGTAGGGTTCCAGGAATATGGTGAAACCAACTGTATTCACCTTATCCATCCATATCTTTTATTTCAACTACAGACTTAAATCATGTCCCCCTCAACTTCTGGCTTTTCAGAATGAAGGATCCCTGAGGCCCAGCCTTTTATGGGAGCTCTCATCCCCTTTAATGTAACAGTGGAGTGGGCTGCATTTTCAAATCAAATCCGCAATTTGTTTTATAGTCCTTTATCTGGGTTGTGACTGGGGGCTTAGAAACCATTAGCCTGTATATAAAATGTGCATTTATCCCCCAGTACATTACCTTACAATTGCCCATATTCCTCTCTCAATTCATCAAAAAATATTTGTTAAGCACCTAGTGTGTACCCAGCACCATGCTAGGTGCTGTGGGGAACACAGAAGAAATGGAAGACACAGTCTCTGCCCGCTGTGCTCCTATCTAGAAGTGGCTGCATCACAAGGAGGGGGGATGACCGCAGTGTCTACCCCACACCCCGTGAGTGGCTTGGGATCCCTTTGCTACATGTCAGTGGCACCCCAGACATTCACCCCCTCCCAGCCCCACCCAGCCTTGGGGATCTGCAAAGGCATGGTTGGGGGAAGGAAGGAGGGGGCGAGGAGACAGATGAAGGGACTTCATTGTCTCAAGCTCTGTGTGACTGACCCCATGAAAGGCCCTGGGGAGGGAGTCATGGGGCCCTGCTGACCTTCCACTGCCTGTGGGAACCTCCATTGCACAGGGAGCAGCTTTGACTGACATCAGTGCGGGTCTTGGCCTTTTCTCTTTCCCCATTTTCAGGTGACCCGCCGGGCCCTATTCCCTGGAGATTCTGAAATTGACCAACTTTTCCGGATCTTTCGGACTCTGGGGACCCCAGATGAAGTGGTTTGGCCAGGAGTTACTTCTATGCCTGATTATAAGCCGAGTTTCCCCAAGTGGGCCCGGCAAGATTTTAGCAAAGTTGTTCCTCCCTTGGATGAAGATGGACGGAGCTTGCTATCGGTGAGAGTTGGGGATGGGCACCCATTTCCTCTTTTACTTCCCCAGGGCAGGTTTTTTTCCAGGATGAAGGAAGGATGAGACCCTGGAATTTGGGTCTTGGCATTTCCCTAGCCCCTGCTTCTCTCTCTCCCTGTTGGCATACCCATTCAAATATAGGGAGGAGGGAATTGGGAACTCTGCCTTGGGTAAAAGGAATTCTGGTTTCCTGATTTCTTGGAACACCTGCTGCCCATTTAGTCCACTGTCACATCACTGAAGTCAGCATACATCTCTCCCTCCAGCAAATGCTGCACTATGACCCCAACAAGCGGATTTCAGCAAAGGCAGCTCTGGCTCACCCTTTCTTCCAGGATGTGACCAAGCCAGTACCACACCTTCGACTCTGATGTCTTCCCCCAGCCCCTACCCCAAGTCTCATCCTCTCCTCCAGCAGGGGCCTGATTTGGCTTGGCCCTGGGCTATTTGCCCTCTGATCTTGTCTGGCTGCCTTAACACCCACCTCCCCTTCTTAGCCAGCCAACTCTGGGGATATAAGGGGTGGAGGGGAGAAATAGGTGAAAATGAAAGGAAGCTTCAGTATTAGATGCACTTAAGTCCCTCCACCACCCTCTCCTCCTCCTCTTAGTCATTGCTGAGGAGGGCTGGTATTTAAAAAAAAAAAAAAAAAAGACTGACTCTTTCTCCCTACCCCACCCCCATAGGGTTTGCCATCCCAATCTCTGAAAGCCCTGAAATTATTTCCTGTGTTTGGGATGACAGACACCCCAAGCCTTCTGCGGCCACTGTGTTTGTAAGGCCAACTGATAGCAGAGGACCTAAGTTGGAACTTTTGAAAACCAAGCAAAACAAAAACATAGGGAGGAGCCTGTTTTAAAGAATTAGGTTAAAAAATAGACCAACCAATTTATACACTAGTTTTAGTGTTTCATCTCACCTAACAGTGTAGGAGACTCAAGACTCCCAGTCTCTGCAGTCCTTATGGGACTGCAGTAGAAATGATTGCCCCTAGAACCCCCTTTCTGTCCCTCCTATGGGCAAGAGGTGTCTGGGAAGCTCTAGGACAGGAACTGTGCTTCACTGTGGCCTTATGAGGCAAGGAAAAGTTGTTTGAATGTTTCTCTTCTTAAGATTCTTAGTTCTTCATGTCCCAGGTCCCATCTTCCTCTAAAGGCCACCCCATAGGAGTGGAAGTTAGGGTTTAGACATCATTTTGAGAATGCTGACACTTTTTTAGGGCTGTGACTGAGTGAGGGCATTGGGAAAATTTTTTTCTTTAAAAGAAGGATGAACAGTTATATTTATATTTCATTCAGGTTATAGTAGTTTTTTAAGTGGGAATGGGTGGATTTGTTGCCATGCGCACCTTGGGATTTTGTAATGCGAATGTTTAAAAAAAGAGTATTTTTTTCTTTTTATGATTTTGTCTCTCTTCTCCCACCTCTTGTCTTCAAGTGTTCTTGCTATTAACATTATTTGTAATTTAGTTTGTAATTCATTAAAAACAAAAGTTCCTAGTTTTATAGTTCATCTCTTTCCTTTACTTACATATTTACTGAAAGAATGATGTGAGAGAGAGAATATGAATGTGTGTATGTGATAGTTGGTTTCAGAGCGCCCCTTTCCTAATCTCTCTGTGCAGGGCTACCCACCTCACCCCAATTCGGCCTCTTTTATGCAATTGGGATAGTGCCGAAAGTGGGCAAAATTAGAATTGTTGCCCGCATTTTACTGTTGGGGAAATGGAAACATACTTCACTTTCCCCACAAACCTGAATCATCCCCTGCACACACACACACACACACACACACCACATACATATACATACAAGGTGGCAGTTCCAGAATTTCAGAGACTTAGGAGGGACTGAGGAACAGCAAAGTGGTTGGACGTGGGTTCCATGGGAATTCGCCTTGACACTGAATTTCCCAGTAAGCTCGTCGTTTTTCCTTTTTGTTGCATATCACAGTTTTCTAAAGATACTTTAATTACATTTACATACGACTCAATATATCAATTGTCTGTATGACAAATTATTATGGAGGGGGTTAAAGTCTCCCCAAGCTACCACTTCTTGGAGTTGCCTCGGTCTCAGCCCCACCAAAAAACGTCCCAGACCGCCGGCGCTGGCCACCCCAAAAATTCCTGTCCTCTGGGGCCCCACAAAAAGGAGGCCGCATCGACGAGAGTGCCACTTAAATTCCCAGGCTCCGGTTCCTCAGGTGAGATGCTTCTCTTTACGCCGCCAATTTGTCATAGAGGGCGGGGCCCCAGGGTCAGTCCCCGCCAAATCCGGGGGGAGGGGCGAAGGTCAGCAGCGGCCCTCCTAAGGCTTCTTTCAACCCCGCCTTGCCTGCCATTCAAGTTCCGAATCTTCCCAGTACTGGTTAAAGCTTCACTTTGACCCGCCTCCATCACTCACCTGATTAGATGTTTATGAGTCAAAAGGCGGGGTCATGACGGTGTCGAGATATTATTGGTTGACATCTACGCCTGTCAATAGTGCACCGCCCCCGTCTCAGAAAGCTCGCTCTTTAGTGGCTCCTCACCTCGTCCATCTTCAGAGTTTCCCTCTCTGTATTGGTCTGGGGCCCCGCCTGTCCAGTCCCTCGCTCGTACTCGTTGGTGATAGCGCCGGAAGAGGCCCGCCTTTCTCCAGAGGATTGGCGGATTAGTGCACACACCGCCCACCCTTGATGTAGGCGGGTAATCGTGCTATTGGCTGGGGCCCCCGCCCCAGGACGAGAGGAGGAGGAGGGGCAGGAGGGTTTGGTTGAGCTGCAGCTGTTTGTCTGTTCGACACAGGCTTGGGCCCGACGGGGGAGACGGAGCCCCAGGTACCGGGCTGATGGAGCCTACGAGGGCAGGGGCGGAGGCGCCCGGGAGAGGAGAACAGTCTGGCCTGAGAGCAGAGGCGGGTCTGGGCCTCAGCGAGGGGTCAGAGTGGCCCACTGGAGAGGGGAGCAGGGGGCCGGGCCCCCGCAGGCCTAATGGGGGCGCTGAGGAGGGGGTCGGGCGGGCTGGGAGCCCGAAGTTGGTGAGGCCGGGAGGCGGCCGGGTTCTGTTGGCGGGCCAGGGGCCGGCGCGGGAGGCCCCGAGCTGTGTGAGGGCAGGGGCAGGCCTCATTGAGCAGCGCTGAAGAGGGAGGAGCTGGGGGAAAGGGCCGGGGCCATGGGTGAGGTAAGCCCGTTTGCCGGGAGGTGAGGAGGGGTCAAACCTGACGCCCGGTATGCGAGGGTAACCGGGGCTGGGGGTCTCGAAATGACTAATTGGAAGGGCCTGAGAAGGCTTCCTAGTTGGGTAAGGGCCATTCTCTTCAGGGAAAGTGACTATTATAAAAATAACTAGGGTGCCCCTGAGTTGAGCCGAGAGGGATTTGGGTTCATTGAGGGAGAACGGAGGCAAAAGACGAAAGCTTTACTAATCTAGAAGACTAGTTGGCGAAGTGGCCCCAGGGCCTGGTATCAGTTACGGGAGCTTCTGGGAATGCTCAAGGGTGGGCCGGAGGATCTGGGTCTTGGAGGACCCACTCTTTTGTTCCTCTTCGTATCGAGATGCGGTAACCTGAAGTTTTTGGGTACTCCCGGGGTAGCTAATGAAGACAAAAGTTAAAAAAAAAAAAAAAAAATTCTGTGGCTGTTGGCCGTTCCAAACTCAGCCCCTACACTTTCCCTTGGCCTGAACTGGTTTAGGGTGCAGTATCTGTTTCTTGTTACCAGTCTCAGCTGGGTTAGGGTGCAGTCCTGTGAAAGAGCTAAGAAGTTGGATTTGGGGGGTTTTTGTTTCTTTCTCGCTTAATAATCTGGTGTATGGTGGATACTGTATCTCTGACCTAGAAGCAGGGGATCAGTGATTTTATTATCCGCACTTGAAAGGGGCTTAGAGATCCCCAGCCACCATGAGATCTTCTGACCATAGTTGGTGAAACTTTTGTGGGACTTACACTTGGGTATTTCCCAGGCAGGTAATGGTTAGGTGGAACCAAGCCTGGAAATAAGAGGTTGTATCACTGAGGAACGGATTTGAGGAAGAGTGAGAAATTCCATTCCAGAAGGTTGGCATCACCCCTGTTCTTTGTCTACTTCAGGAGCCCAGGTTTCTGTGCTATTAGAAAGTTGGGTCAAATGCCTCAACAGTGAGGCATTTGAGGAAGGGAGTGAGTAGAGAAAAAGAAGATGGATTACTAAGGCACAGGAGTCTACCCTCCCCCATATATTTTTAATGGTCTGCTGACTTCTTTAGTCCCCCATAGATTGGAGTTTATTGGATTTTCCCTTATTATACTTCCTCCTTTTACCTTTTTATACAAATGTATTTTATAACTACATTTCCTCTGAATTACAAAAGTAATATGTACATATTTTAAAATATTCAGGATGTACAGAAGTGCACAAAGTGTAAATCTTCCCACATATTCCTCTCTCATTTGTCCAGAAAGGTCGACTAGAGGCAGCAGATCAGACTAATCTCACTTTGCTTTGGGGATGTGCCACCAAAGGCAGTTCTGTTTTCACGTTCTCACCAAACTCTGGTCTCTCATTCTTTCCAGTTTTCCCGTCTGGAATGATACTCTGTTATTTATTGTGCTCCTTTTACTCTCATTTTGTCTTCCTTCTATCAAAATCAGACAAGCAGAGAGGTGTACTCTAGGTTATCCTTAAAACACACAGAGTGCCCCCTGCCCCCAGTTGTGCACTGGGTATCCTAGGAAATGCCCAAATAGGTGGCCAGTACTTTTTTCTCTTTTATGGGCAGGAAAGGAACATTAGGTGAATCATTTGTTTGGGAGAATTATTGGATCTTTGCTGAAGTGAGGAATTTGAGACCTCTATCTTCTGGTTCATGGTCTGTGCATGTTCAGATTATATAACTGTCCTTTCATTAACCTAAAAGATGATGATGGTTCTCCTAAAGGGCCTCTGTATCTGTCTTTCTGTAGTGATATAAGAAAACTCTCAAGTTTCTCTGGATTTGAAATTGTTTCCTCTAAAACTTCAGTATAGTTGGGACATTTCATTCTACCACCTTATTAATTGAATTTGCCCTTACTGGCTTTAGAAGGCTCTAGTGTGCCCAGCCTTTGTACAGTGCCCCCAGAAACTTTGATTATGTACCCCGAGGAGTTTTTATTTTCCTTCTGCAAAGCCAGTCCTAGAGAAAATTGTGTGTGTGTGTTAATTGTCTCTATAGGCTTTGCCATTTTCTACATCCTGCTGGTATACCTGTCCCTTTCTTCTATACTTTTTTTTTTGCTTTTCCACCTTCCTTTTTTATTTTTTTTTTTAAATTTTTTTTAAGTAGGCTCCACGCCCAGCAGGGTTGAACTCACGACCCTGAAATCAAGACTTGAGCTTAGATCAAGAGTCAGATGCTTAACCCACTGAGCCACCTAGGTGTCCCTCGACCTTCCTCTTAATCAAAGTCTACCTTCAAGAAACAATCTGACACAGATCGAGAGTTAAAAACTATTTGGAGAAGAGGTCTTTCCCCTTATTCTTCAAGTCATACTTGATTACAAGTTATACCTTGTAACTCTTAGTTTTCCCAGGAGCAAGGATTGCTTTTCTATAGTTTCCTTGTTTTTATGCATTGATACGAATTTGACTTCTGAGGAGGCATAGGGTAGGAGAAGCAAGTGTATAAACTGCTCCCTAATCCTAAAGCATTTCAGATTGGAAAGTAACCAAAGTGTTAGACAATGAACTTAAAATAAGGAAATGCAACAGCCCTCTAGGAGGAAGGATACCTTAAAACCCTACACAATACGCTCCCACTTCCCAAGAGTGTTGTAGGAAAGATTTAGTCATTGAACAGTAACTGAGCTGAGTAAGGAGCCAACCAGGTGAGCAAAGTGTATGCAGATTTCTGGGCCAGATTGTGGCTGTGGTTTAGGGGCAGTGGGTACCTTTTCAGAATGTTCACTAGCTCTCATGGTTTGGGTTTTTTTTTAACTTGTGTTTCTCAAGTTCAGAAATTAATAGAGATAATGTCCCAAAGTTTTTGAACAATTAACATTAACTGAAAACTCAGGGAACTTTAAGCCACAGTTGCTTCAGTGTTAGGGTGGGAGGGCCGCATATTGGGTATGATTAGGCCATCTGAGCATAGTAACGGGTGACAGGAAAAGCAGTTAGCCCATGTGAGTTGCAACAGTACTTTGTGGGCTGGGTCCCAAGGGGGCCCTCCATCCAAGGGAGATCACAAAGAGGCCAGGGAGAGAATTGGTTTTCTGAAGACTATTAAAAACATTCCCAAATGGAACTGAGTGAGAAGCTATCCAGATGACACAGAAGGGGAGGAATTGATGAAGGAGGGAAGCAGGTCTGCTTTAGCATTAATTAATTTAGGGAGCATTTAATGAACACCTACTAGGGACCAGGCATTGTGCTGTGCTCTGGAGAGTCAAAATGACAAAAAAAATCGTCACATTTCTTGAGAAGTTCATAGTTCGGCAGAACAGACACACACCACTAACTTATATAATGTAGTAAGTGCTGTGATAGAAATATCATCTTAATACTGCAGGACCCCAGAGGAAGCAAAGATGAATTCTGCTAGGGTGAGAGGGTAATTATGCAATTTTACAGAGAAGGTGACATTTAAGCTTGGCCTTAAAAGATAAATTAGGAGTTTACTAGGCGGACAAAGTGAGGAAGGGCATTCCTGTCTTTTCTAGGTCAATAATAAAGAACTTGTACTACCATGCTGATAAGAGATAAGCATGCTTTTTACCTTTTGGGGAAATATAAGGGAGAGAGTGGGGAGAAGTGGAAGGACTCTCATTTAAGACCATGACTCATTAGTTAATCTTGGATAAACAATGGAAGAGCTGAGCCAAGTAGTAGAACTCTCAGTTCAAGATTTTAGTAATTTTGGGTTGAGAGTTGAAGGTATTTACTGGCTTTTGCCCTATCTTCCCTAATCAGTAAATCTCTTAGATTAGTCCCAAGGTCCACAGACGCTTGTAAAAGTTACCACTCTTTCCCTGTCATCTTCCATTAAATTATTTCCATTTCAACCATCCTGGCAGGGTTGATGAAGACCTTCTAGAGAGGCATAGTAATGAGCGAGTTCTGTTAAAAGACTGTGGAACTGGAATCCAGTTCTCAGGGAAGGCCTGGGTCTAGCTACCTTGTTTTTAGTCCCAAGGAAGTACTTATCAAAACTGAATAGAGGCAGAAACTAATCAGTCTGAACTCTTCTTTCTGTCCTGGTGTCCTCTGCAGAGTTCAATTCAGAGTTAGCATCTCCTGCTTCCTTAAGAGTTATAGTGGTATATTAAATTAGGAGTACTTGCTAAAAGGAGATTTAGCTGTCTGTATGAGAACACCTGGCAAGTTGATTAACATTATTTGTAATAGCTGTCTATATGGTAATACTGGCAAGTTGATTAATATTATATGCCTCAGTTTCCTTACCTGTAAAATACAGACTGAACTAGACCTCTAGACCGCCTCTTAACTGGGAAACTGACCTTATGGGGCTGACATTTGGGTGTGGGCTAGACTCCAGTGGCTATATATCTGGAAGTTAGTCTCTCTTAATAGGTAATAGACTTCTAAAGGCTTCATAATGTGGTTGACATAGAGACTCAAAGATACCATGTAGAGGGGGGCCTGAAGAATAGTCTTGCTCTAGCTGGGATCAGCAAGCTAAGAAACCTTTCCTATTTATACTTTCCTGAGCTGCTAGGGGTGCTGCCCACACTCAAGAACTTGCCCCTTCATCCTCCACCTTTCCCCTCCCCAGTGGGCTGATGCTGTGATCAACCCTAAGTCCTCCCTAGTTAATGGTCATTTGATAAACCTTTTTTGTGGAGCTGCACATCGAAGGGAAG